CCCGCATTCCTTTGGGCAATAAAACCAGTGATATCAGCATTGGTTGCCATGGAACCAGAGGCCTGTTCTGCCTTTCGGAGGTGTTAGATGCATTTCGGGGGAAGGGTCCATAGACCCTCGTAATTGGCCCTTTGTTTAGGTGAGGGGGCATTAGATATTTTTGTTAAATATAACAAAAAGTTGTGCGTCTGATTGGTCCAAATGCTACACTAGATATCGCCAAGAAAAATATCCTCATGAACTGGAAATCAACAAATTCCATACATATTGCATCCTGGAAAAATCTACTAATTGACTATATCTCGATGGGAAGTCTATCCAGTTCATCTCATAGTAATTCAGTAGAATTACACCCCTTCTGGTCATCTCTCATTACCTTCCAGCAGTCATAAAGGTGTTTCGCTGTTGTGTGTTTGAGTGTGGAGAGGAAGCTGGTAATTGGCTGTGTGGTTTTGGTAGCAGCTTCTGGTGGACGTCTCCAGTCTTGTTTAGTCCTTTGACGATCATAATATGATGCACATTGCCATTGCAGCTTGTTCTGGCAAAGAATAACCCACTGAATATGTAAACTGACACTTTATTTACATGATGTTTACATAAGTATCAAGCTTTGAGTATGGGAGATGATGATACACGTCCCTTATATTCTTAATTGGAGCTGTTGCCCTTTGTCTTCCTCTTTATGATTTTTTTTAGTTTTTTTATTAAGGTTTTTTTTCCTGTTTGCTTCGTTTTTTTTGTTTTCTCTGTAGCTTTTGTTTTGTTATTTATTTATTTAATGTCAATTTATTGTTTATATTATTTTACTTTGTGTAGAAACACCTTTATAATCCTACTTGTCATTTCCCTCTGGGGATTAAAAAATTGTAAATGGAATTTAAAATTAAATTAAATGTATTTATTTTTTATTTTATTTTATTTATTTGTTATTTATTTTGTGTAGAAGCACTATTATAGTCCTACTTGTAATTGTTGTTTAATACGTAGTCAGAGGCAACATCAGAGTCAACCCCGATAATTATTAAATATTTATTAGTTTATAATTTAATACTATCATTATTATTACTTGCCCTCTTCATTGTCCTCCACCCTTTCCCAGTTTTAATGAAATTATTATTATTATTATTATGGTTATTATTACTATTGTTGCTAACAACATTTGTTGTCTTTTTTTCTTCATTTTTAAAGTTATACTACTTGTATCTGTTAGGCCTATTAATCTGTTAAGATACTATTTCATTTGTATGCTTCCTCCCCCACCTCTAGACACAATGTCACATGCACGCACACGCGCACACACACATGCATGCTCACAGACACATGAATGCAAATACAGGAGCTAATCAGAATGGACTTGTAATGTTGGCTATCAGTATATATGTTTGTTTGTCCAAGTGAGTCTATATTTGGCACATGTAAATATTGCCACTTTCTTTACTTAGCCTATGTTTCTTACTTTTATGTTATATGTTTGGTCCATGTGATTCTGTATTTGGCACATGTAAACATTGTCACATTCTTTAATTGCATAATAAAAAAAATAATAATAAAAAAAAGGATGACTACACTGAAGCAGATCCTCTCGCAAATCCGCCCAGAAGACTGGTTCTTTTCTCCGAACTTGAAAGACGCCGACTTTCACATCCAGATAACCCCCCACCACAGGCGATTCTTGAGATTCGCCTTCGAGGGAGTGGCTTATCAATACACGGTCCTTCCCTTTGGACTTTCCCTGGCTCCACGCACTTTCATGAAGTGCATGGATGTGGCAATTTCCCCTCTGAGGCAGAAGGGAATCCGCATTCTCAATTACCTTGACGACTGACTCGTTCTGGCCCAGTCTGAGGCGGAGTCACTATCTCACAGAGCCCTCCTCCTCAGCCACTTAGAATGCCTGGGGCTCAGGGTCAATTTTGCCAAGAGTGCACTGTCCCCCAGCGAACGAGTATCGTTCCTGGGAACAGTGTTCGACTCAACTCAAATGAGAGTGGTGGTCGCGACAGAGCGTGCTCTGGGTATATCGGGCCTGTCAAACCTTCCTTATGTAGGAACCTGTGGGTTCCTACATAAATCGCCAGGGAGGGCTTTTCCAGCGCCTCCTGGAATGGGCTCAGCTCAACCTGCGCTCGCTGAGAGCAGCGAACGATCTGGGTAAACTGAAGCAAGGAGCAGACATGTTGTCACGAAGCAAAGTCCCCTCAGAAGAGTGGATGCTTCATCCGCAGATGGTTCAAAAGTTTTGGGAGATCTTTGGCAAGGCGGAAGTGGACCTCTTCGCCTCAAAAGACAACCCTTATTGCCCAATTTATTATTCCAAGGACAAGGACGCGTTGGCCCACGACTGGCCCAACCTCCTTCTCTGTGCTTTCCCACGATCGCCCTGATCCAGCAGGTAATCAGACGAATCAGGGAACAAGAACGCAAAGTTCTCCTAGTGGCCCCGCTCTGGAGAAACCAGCATTGGTTATCAGAGCTGTCGCAGCTGCTCATAGCAGCCCCATGGCCCATTCCCCTGAGGCGGGAACTCCTCTCTCAGGCGAAGAGGATGATATGGTACCCCCGGCCCGAGCTGTGGGCTCTGCATTTTTGGCCACTCGACGGGAGCCAGCAAGCCTCCCAGAGTGTGTTCTAAACACCATTTCTCAGGCTAGAGCTCTGTCTACAAGACGCCTCTATGGCCTTAAGTGGACGGTGTTCTCCACCTAGTGCTTAAACCGCGGTGAGGACCCGTCCGTCTGTGATGTATCTGTGATATTGTCCTTCCTGCAGGAGCTGTTGGATAAGGGGCGCTCCCCATCCACGCTCAAGGTCTATGTAGCAGCTATAACATCTTCTCATGCCCCTATAGTTGGCCAGTCGGTAGGCAGAAACAACTTTGTTGTCCGTTTTCTGACGGGGGCTAGGAGGCTGAATACGCCCCTTCCCCTCACTGTCCCTACGTGGGACCTGCCCACTGTTCCGAGGGCCCTGAAGGGTCCTCCCTTTGAGCCGCTCTGCTGCTAGCATTAGCATCGTTCAAACGAATGAGAGACTTACAGGCGCTCTCGTCTTAAACAACGATAAGTACAAAATGACAAAGGAGTCATTTGTTTGTTTTTTTGTGAATCTACTGTGTATTGTAGGGTCTATTGTGTCTGTGGCACAGTTGTCCTTAGCTATGAAGCCCAGGGGCAAATTTGGGTTATGATTTTAAGAACTATGCTTGTCTACTCCCTTTAATAAATACTTTTCTCTTCTTTACAAAGAAATTGTAATAGATTTATTGCAACATGTCCAGGCCATATTTTCATATATGACTCAGGTTGAGATTTTGACATCAAAAAACACCACAGTAAGAAGGAATTTATGTGCAATCAGTAGGCCTACACAGAATAAATACCCACAGAATTCCACAGAACACTCAGCAGATTTCAGATTTTTACCACCCTTTATTCACAAAGCTGTATCAGCTGCATATATTTAAACCAATTCAGCAGTTTGTTTCCCCACAATCAGCAAAAAACAATGCATAGATTCCATGTGGGCCTATCACAGTTATGTTGTCCTTCATTTCAAAATGATGTTGTAAGATGTTATGAGTATATGGCAAGATATGCTATTCTAATGATAATTCATGGCTAGATATCTGCATTAACATTTTAATGCACACTGGGAAGGCAAAGAACAGATGGCTCTCATCCTTTATGTCATATTTTAAATAATAATAATAATAATAATGCACACCTAGCCATAGATTATCCCTTCTTATATCATGGTCACTTGCCAGCATGGACAAAATAAAGCTGTCATTTATATTTGCCAAGCAATAAAATATATATGAGTGCATATCAGCAAGGAGAGGAGGACCTAATGCTGCCTTTAACTTAATTTAGCCAAAACAAAGGTAATCCACAGGAGAATAGAGAATGGGTTTGCAAAACACAGAAAATAATTAAGAAATTGTGGAGCAATTACCAAAGGTGTGTATACATGCATTTAAAAAAAAATAACAAAAAAATAGTTTAATGCAATAATACTTTCCCTGCGAATGCCCCTTTAAATTTTTCTCTTTTCAGTTAATCATTACTCGAGTATGATGTCTCTCTATTACAGTTTTTTTTTTAACTGCTTACACACAAAATCTTTACTTGTCACACAATTTCTGAAACCTGACACTCAAACCAACACACCAGACAACACAACCACACACCAAATCTGCAAAACTATACACGAATTCTCAGCCTTTTACTCTGTTTTCAATTTCATAAAACACTTTTTGCAAAACACAACGCACAATTGTAACACACAAAAATCTAAAAGGGAGTATCTTGATTTCCTTTTTCAAAACCAATCAAAATGCCACACTAATTCATCAGGGCCTCACACTAACTCCACACATGTGCAAACACTCATTGATTTATTTAACACCAACCAATCATGGCTTTAGAATAGGCCTATCAATCCACAACTACACAACTACACATGGTTGATGTATTTCTTTTCTGTCGTACTGTGTAATACTGTATTCACGAGCACAAATGCTTACAGTAAAGAAAGTTTGGTTTCAATCTTGCTTTTGTGTTTACTGTGAATTTTTCAACATCTCTCTGCCAATTACTTTCAATCTTTTACAGAAATGTACATAGGAGATCATGAAAGAAGAGCTTTAGGTTTTGAATAACTGTGTGTATATGATACAGGTGCATCGCAAAAAATTTAAATATCGTGAAAAAGTTCTTTTTTTTTTTTACTTATTTCAAACAGTGAAACTTTTATATATTCTAGATTCATTACATGTAAAGTAAAACATTTCAAAAGTTTTTTTTGTTTGTTTTTGTTTTGTTTTAATTTTGATGATTAGAGCTTACAGCTCATGAAAGTCATAAATCCAGTATCTCAAAATATTTACATTTGAGTTTCATTAAATGACCATCCCTACAGTATAAATTCCAGGTATCTCTTGATCTTTGAAACCACAATAATGGGGAAGACTGCTGTCTTGGCAATGGTCCAGAAGATAATCATTGATACCCTCCACAAAGAGGGTAATGCTGGGTACACACTAAAAGATTTTTAAAATCTTATAAGATCTTCAAGATGTGAGAGACCACAAACATGAGGACAAACAATCCTAGATTTAACCATTTTGCTCCTATAGTGTGAGGTGTCCTCGGGGTACCCAAGAAATTGGGTAGGAAAAGGTGCACAAGCAACAGGGATGAACGCAAGCTTGAGAATACTGTCAAGCAAAGCAGATTCAAACACTTGGTAGAGCTTCAGACATCTTCAGGATGGAGGAAGACTGGAGAGGCACAGAATCCAAGCTGCTTGAAGTCCAGTGTGAAGTTTCCGAAGTCAGTGATGATTTGAGGTGCCGTCACATCTGCTGTTGTTGGTCCATTGTGTTTTATCAAGTCCAAAGTCAATGCAGCTGTCTACCAGGAGATTTTGGAGCACTTTATGCTTCCATCTGCTGACAAGTTTTATGGAGATGCTGATTTCCTTTTCCAGCAGGACTTTAGCACCTGCCCACAGTGCCAAAACCACTTCCAAGTGGTTAGCTGGCCATGATATTACTGTGCTTGATTGGCCAGCCAACATGCCTGACCTGAACCCCATATTGAATCTATGGGATATTTTCAAGAGAAAGATGAGAAACAGTCAATCCAACAATACAGACGAGCTGAAGGCTCAATAGTGGCTCAGCAGTTCCACAGGCTGATCGCTTCCATGCCACACCTCACTGATGCTGTAATTTGTGCTAAAGGAGGCCCGACCAAGTATTGAGTGCATAAATGAACATACTTTGAAGAACTTTTCTGTTTTGCAAATTCTTTTTTTGATTGATCTTATAATCCACAAATAGAAAAGGTCGTAGCGTTTTGCAGATCTTTTTTATGCTCAAACAGCAACATTACAGACTAACTAAAGTTGAAAAAGTGAAAAAAAAGAATAGGACCCCATTAAGAGAATTTGCCTGCCTTATTTCAGTAGGAAGAGAATTCCATAGTTTTGGAGTTAGAGAAGAAAAAGCCCTATTCCCCACCGATCTTAGGCGGGTAGACGGAACAATTAACAATCCAGTATCAGAAGAACGTATGTTCCGCCTTGGGGTATATGGAGTTAAAAGCTCTGACAGATATTGCGGTGTCAAACCATGCAGAGCCTTGTAAGTGAGCATCAGAATTTTCAAATCAACCCTAAACCTAACAGGAAGCCAATGCAAAGACTCCAAGATAGGAGTGACATGATCCCTTATCCTTGTTTTAGTTAGGATTCTGGCAGCAGAGTTTTGCACAACCTGTAATTTGTTTAGGGTAGCTTTTGAAACCCCAACCAACAGAGCATTGCAATTGTCAATTCGAGAGAAAACAAAGGAGTTTATTCACTTCTCAGCAACAGGGAAAGACAACATTGGACGTAATCTGGCGATATTTCCAAGATGAAAGAAAGATGTTATAACAGTATTCAGAACAAGGCTCAAATGTTACATTTGAATCAAATATTACTCATATCAAAGTATAGGGTCCCCCATATATATCCTTCAAAATTATTATAAAAAAAATTAAATATAAATTGTCATTCATACCAAGTGTCACGATACGCTGGAAGGAACGATGGAGACGTGGATAACTTAAACAGTATTTAATTAGAGAATCACAGGGGTAAATTCATCCTTCAAAATTATTATAAAAAAAATTAAATATAAATTGTCATTCATACCAAGTGTCACGATACGCTGGAAGGAACGATGGAGACGTGGATAACTTAAACAGTATTTAATTAGAGAATCACAGGTGTAAATTCATAACAGGAACAGGGGT